GCAGGAATCCTGCCCACAACTGTCCCAGGATGGGCTCAAACCACCAGCATTCTGGTTAACAGCCAGACACACTGACCCATTGTGCCACCTCCAGGTGGTTTTTGATATGGGGTGGTTGAACCAGGGACCTTTTGCATGCAGACCAAATACTCTACTGCTGAGCTATGACCCTGGCCCTTCACTGAAAATGGATGTTGATGCTGAGCCTTGAATGGGCACATGAGAATAACATATCATTTAAAATTTAATAATATTTTTTGAAGCAATGGCAGGGTTCAGTCTGAGCCCAAAATAGTGCATATTTCCTACTTGATTGTAAAATGTCTGAATAAAATTTTGGCACATGCTCCTGAAGTGTTCAACTTTCTACCTGTTCATAAGGTTAACATTGGCTATACCAAAGCTTTGGTATACTTCTGGTATATCATATATTGTATCTCTTGGTGCAATGCTAAAGAAGGAAGGAGATCTATCTTATTTGGCCATCTTTTTACCGTGTAAGAGTAGCTGATCCACATTGCTGATTGGTGGTATTGTTCCTAGTCATGATTTTACCCAAATATCTCATTGTATGTGAAGGGCCCCACCCAGATGCCTCTTTATTTATCCCCGTCACTTTCTCAGGCTTTTGTGAGCTAGGGCTATCCCTGCTGCAGCCTTGATTTTTGAAGGTAAGCTGCCACCTTGTGGTGTGTTCTAAAACAAAATTATTTATTAATCTCTAAAACAAATCATGTGTGTATTTATTCCCCCCTATTGCTATCTTAACTGTCTGTCAATCAAATCACTGTATCTACTGTATGTTTTGCAAAGGGGTTTGTTTGTCCGTCTGTCACTTCTCTATAGGTTCAGCCGCCTCTCGAGACATATTCGCCAATATGGCAGAAGGGTTCCCGAAGTGGGGGCAGAAGTCTCTGTTGATGTTTGGACACCATGCACCATTTTGAATAAAGATGGCAGACCCAAACATGACTTTGTTGTGACTTCACTCAATTTTGTGTGTGATGGATTCAAACTCACAAATTACACAATCCATTTAAGAATCACAATATTTCATTGTTTCTACAAATTCCCAGGCAGCACTGGAGGACACCCCCTGCTAGTATTCTGATAACATGTCTGATCTCAGATCTTCTAGTTAAGCGCTGCAATTAAAAGGAAGGGAGCTCATAGGAACATGAAATTCAGAAATAAATGCTATTGATTGGAAAACAGAAAGAGGCTTGAGGCAAAGTAACCTTGGCTTTATGAGTGACCTCTGCCAGAGCTTGCAAAGGTCTGGAGACATCCCTGCAAGAACCTGATTCAAGGATTGTTTGCTTGTTTGGTTCAGCAAAGCCAGTGCTTAATTCCCTAAGCAAAACCAGGTCATCAGCTGCAAGTCAGTTCCTCATATTATGCGTTGCCCTAGTAAATTGAGTACTGAAGGAAATTGTTTTCTAGTAAATATAGTATTGAACATTCCAAGGCAAATGAAGCAAATACCAAGGCATTAAAGCAGCCAAACAGGAGAGTTCCAGACATTCCCCAGATACCACCCAGACATTGTTACTGCTAACCACATGTTTGACATCCAGCAATCTGAAAATTCAGCTAAGGATGCAGAACGTTGCTCTTCCACATATTTTTCTTTTGTTATTTAACAAAATTTATATACCTCTTGAATGTAATAAAATCTCTAAGTTGATTACAAGAAATATTAAAATTTCTCAATAAAAACAGCAAAAAATTTAAAAGGTAATTAAATTTAAAGTAATTTAAAAGGTAGTTAACAGTCGACTAAAAAGAGATTAAAACACATCAACAGCTATGTGTCTGGATAAATTTGGTTAAAGAAAAATGGTAGTGAAAAAGCACAACAAAGGTGCTTGCCTGATGTCAGTAGGCAGGGAGTTCCAAAGTGTAGGTGGTGCCATATTTAAATATTGATTTCTTACAGCAGTAAGCCAAGTATTATGTGGCACCCATAAGAATCCCAGCTACGCAGATTGAAATGGTTGAGTGGGCACATATGGATTAAGAATGACATTTCCCCATTCCTACAGCCAGCAAATCTTAAATCTACTGTATCTTTTGGAAAGTTATTTGTTTGCTATGCATTTGGACATTTCCTAAGATATCATAACTAAATTTTGCATGTTGGCCTCTGAGATCAAGGAGCAGGTTTTTATCGGTGTTTGGAAACAACTGGTTGTCATTTTGAATCAATATTGGGGACTGAATCTGTCAAAACTGCACTGATTTTAACCACTGATTTCAAATCTGTGCTGGTTTTTTTTGTTTCTTAGACTTCCTGAGCAATGCCAACCAGGTACAAGGCTGCTTGTTACCTAAAAAGCAGGGTGGGGTGAGGGTTCTGCTTCTTATATCAAAATGAGCACATGGGGAGGGAAGGTGAAAGATATCACATTCACATTCCACTACTCAATTTGGTTGCTTAATGTGATTTCCCATCAGCCCAGCTCCAATACTAGAAGTGAGCTGGGTTGGTTTGAAATTGCTTAAAGCTGTGGATAGCAGCAAGGTGAGCGGGGGGGGGGGGGCTTTTGCTCCTATCCACCATGCACTCATTTTGATAGGAAAAACAGACCTTCTCACCCCAGCAGTATAGGTAAATGAGCTTAAATATACATCTCTGGTATAGCCCTGAGGCTCAGTATCTGTAAAATGGGTGTTTTAAAATAATATTCCCTATGTGCTTGATTTCATGACCAGGTGTTAGAGTCACCTGTAGGTTGTGGCTGTTCACTTCCTTAAACTATTTTACCTGCATTTTGATTGTTTCCTGCCTTCTGGTTGCAGTCTGAATCACAAAAGCCACCATGGTTAGAGTGTCGAAATAGCACCTGAGAGATCAGAGTTCAAATCCCCACTCAGCCATGAAGCTCATTGGGTGACCAGTCACCTTCCTTCAGGTTAGTTTACCTCATGAGGCTAAAATAGGGTGGGGGAGAACCACGTACAGGAAGATGGGATATAAATGTGGGTGGGTGGTAGTGGAATTAAATGTGTTATGATGTGTTACGATCTGGTATCATGTGTGGATAGTATTGCCAAGATAGCCAAAAGGGTGTAAGGATATATGTGACAGGGAACAGATGGGCAGGGCCAGCACAAGGTGTTTTTCTATCTGAGGCAAAGGACAAGGTGCCTCCCTCCCTCCATGCACTGCACAGATCAACCTCATTTCAACTTCTTCTTTGGCGATCACTCGGAGCTGAGTAAGATTGTCTTTCATGAATATGGTCTTAACAGTGTGTCCATAAGTGACTGTGGAGGCCAATTCTGGATGCACACGTCCTTCCACAGTGGGGACATTTGTTTCCGGGTGGGAGTGGATCATGGTGAGGGTTTGCCAAGCGTGCCTTCCTCTTAGCACGTTTCTCTCTTTTGTCCTGAGTTCGAGTATCTTCAAAGCCCACGACACCTTTGGTAAAGGCTGTTCTCCAATTGGAGCACTTTCAGGCCAGTGTTTCCCAGTTATTGATGTTTATACTACATTTTTTTTAGATTCGCCTTGAGAGAGTCTTTAAACTTCTTTTGTCGACCACCAGCTTTATGCTTTCCATTTTCAAGTTCGGAATAGAGTACTGTAGTTGCTTTGGAAGACGATAATCGGGCATCTGAATGACATGACCAGTCCAATGAAGTTGATGTTGAAGAATCACTTTGACACTTAGTTCGCCTGTCTTCCCATGTGACGTGTACAGTGTTAGGACAACATCCTTCACCAATGCTAAGGGCAGCAAGCTTCTTAGAAGATGCACACACACACGCGCGCGCACACACACACACACACACACACACCTGCCTTCCATCCCTTCCCTGGTCCTCTTTGCCTGCAACCCCAATCAGCATCTGCCACCTGAGGTGCCAACCCCACTCTGCCCAATGGTAGGGCCGGCTCTGCAGGTGGGCAACCGGCGAACCTGGGGCAAATTTCAGAAGCCACAGGCCAGCAGGCAGCGGTGACCTCTAAGCAAGAGCAACCTGTTCCCCCTCTGGCAGCCTGCAGAGGAAAGAGGAGGTGTAAGAAGTGACTGGGAAATTGAGGAAGGCCCTGCCCACTCCTGGCTTCAGCCCCGCCTCCAACTGAGTGGCCCCTGACAGGTGACCCCTGAGGCAAACTGGAGCTTGGCAGAGAAAAAAAAGGAGTGAAGAGAAAGGGCTCTGTTGGCTATTTTTACTTTTAGTTTCCAGAATTAATAACGCTGCCACTTAATCATTGGGGAGTGGGCTTCCACATGTTCAAGCAGAAAGGGGCAGGTGCTGCAAGTCTGCTTCAAAATTTAGGTTTGATGAGGCCCTAAGCTACTGAAGGCAATGGGGCCCTTTATATGTCCAGCTGTCCTTTGTCAACAACAAATTGTCACTGTTTTTTGTGTTGAATATATGGTAGTTTATGGACCTAATAGGTATCTAAAGCCATTTGCACATAACAAAATATGTATTTTATCCAAGTAATTGTTGAACTGAAATACAATTAAGAAGTATATTAATAGTGAAATAATTATTCAGCTCTAACTTAAAATGATTTTTTATTCATAACTTAATGCAAACACATTGGCATTTGGCAATAACGAAAGTTCCTTGAGAAACACAATTTACACAGACGCATAATCTAGTCTCTAGAAACTTGCTAAAACATGAAATAATAATAGCAAACCAGTGATATTTTAGGGAGCAGGTGAGCAGGCGGGGCCCATTACTTATAGCACAGGAGCCTACACAACACAAAACACTGTTGCTGTATGTAGGTTTTATTTTATTTGTTTTTATCTTATATTTTGGAAATGTACATCCAGGTGTTTTTTTCTTTACATTTTTGGGGGGCCCCCAAGAGAGTGGGGCCCTAAGCTATGGCTTGTTTAGTTTATACGTAAATCCGGCACTGACTGGCGGCGCGGAGGTGAGGCAAGTGAAGGAGGATTTGGTACAGGGTACAGCCGGTACCCTGCTTCCTCCCGCCGGCTGCTGCGGGGAGGGCCGAGAAGACGGGTGTGTGTACCTTTAAGAGAAAAGGAAAGCAGGAAGTCGCTGTGGGGCAGCCCGAGGAGCCGCAAACTGACTGGGTCGCCAGCGTGGAGCTTGCATGGGGTCTCGCTGACCAAGCCTGCCAGTCCCTCGTGGGGGAAGTTGAGCTGTGATCTCTGGAGAGAACCAATTGTCCAATTTCAGGTAGGATCCTTTGCTCGCAATATACCTGTGAAGATCTGCAACCGAGCTGCTTGATTTATTACTTCCTTGCGTTCGGCTTACATTGGCAGTTGTAGATGAACGGTGCCTGTACACTTCCTTCCTGTAGGGTGCAAATCCTATCCTATTTTGGTGTGTTTGTTCCTGCCTGCAATGCCGAGTTTGAATTGGCTTGGCATGTGTGTTTTTTTACTTTCTGCAAGGCGTGCAAGGAACGCATATAAGGACTAGAGAGATGCAAAGGTGGGGTGTATATTTTCGTGGAAGCAGGCTTTATACGGAAACATTTGCTATATTTCTTTAATGAGCCCCAGAGGCACTTATGAGACTTTTTCACAGGGGATGCAGCAATTGTTCATTTAATCTTCACACCCTATTTTATTTTATTTTTATTTATTTATTAAATTGATGCCCTGAACACCTATATAATGGATATTAACACCACAGCCTCAATATCTTTTAAGACTGTTATGTTCTCTCCAGAGTGGAGTCTGGATGCTTTCATTTAATCAAAGGTGCTAATTCATTTTAACATGACCACATCTATTTGAGGTACATTACATGCTAACATAAATCTGTCTTCTTTTCATGCCTTCATAAGGAATGCTAAATGGTGTTCTTACCATAGGTAGCAAAACAGCCCTTTTGAAACAGTGGTATCTGGTATCTGCTGTTTCCTTCTGTGCTCAGGGGAATAAAATATCCAATACATCAAAAAAACCTGGCGGATTCAGTTTCTACTTCCCATAGTACAGAAATTAGGGGGAAAATTTTTTTAAAAGGAAATTGGTCAATGTTCAGGGAAGTTTCCTCTCCCCCTGTGTATGCTGTATGTTTTGGGGATGACTCCACAGAGGATATGCTACAATCAACACTAAAACGTTCTGCCTTCCTAGAACAGGAGGAATACTAGAACTTTTGTTCAGAGGTGTGTATGTTTTGGCCCATTCATGTGGTGTGAAGGCGGCTGCCAAGGTTGTGAATTCTTCACACTGGTTGACATTTTATTTGCAGCCAGCATTCCTATAGCTTACTAGGCTATCAGTGAGAGCTATGCTGAGATTGTTAGAGATGGCCAGGGGTCACCAATGGCGGAGAGAACACTGTTGAGATCCGTCTTCGTTTCATGCTGGACAAGAAATTGTGTGCAATTGATATAAAATGGATGAACATAGTTTTGGATTGAATTTTTAAATTAATTATCCTTGAGCATGTACAGGAGTGTGCCACATACTGATGGACATGAAGGATGGGGTTTTTCAAAGTTACTTCATGTGTTATATGCAATATCTCTCAGGCCTGACAATTGTTCAGAGATCACATTCCTTGAGCTCATCCTAACATGGGACCAAATCCTGATGTGGCTGCACTTTTGCTAAAAATACACAACTGAATATAATAGGTCAGCGCCAGCAAGTCTGACAATTGAGTGTGTGTGTGTAGGCAGAACATAGCAGTACAGTGGTACCTCAGGTTACATACGCTTCAGGTTACATACGCTTCAGGTTACAGACTCCGCTAACCCAGAAATAGTACCTCGGGTTAAGAACTTTGCTTCAGGATGAGAACAGAAATCGTGCTCCGGCAGTGCGACGGCAACAGGAGGCCCCATTAACTAAAGTGGTGCTTCAGGTTAAGAACAGTTTCAGGTTAAGAACGGACCTCCGGAACGAATTAAGTTCTTAACCCGAGGTACCACAGTATAGAGAATATGGGGAACTTCCTTATACAGTACTGAGGCAGGCAGCTGGTTCATTTAGCACTGTTTTGTCTATATTGACAGTGACTCTTTAGGGATACAGGTAAAAGTCTTTCCTTGTCCCACCTGGAGATGCTATAAGACTGAGCTAAGGCTCTTGCCCAAAAGAACTATTATTTATTTATTTTATTTTAATTTAATTTATATATCACCCTTCATCATAAGATCTCCCTGGGTGGTTCACAGAATAAAATGTGGGATAAAAACAAGTAAGTAATTAAAAACAAAACAGCAATACAATAATTCCCCTTTCCACAGACACCTTTAAAAGGCTGTAGACTAGCAATCAGCCAAAGGTCTGGTTGAAGAGGAACTGGTGCCTGGTGCCTAAATTTATTAGATTTCTATATAAAGATAACTATACATGAAAGCCTCAGATCATTCAGGAATTCTACCAAATGCTGTAGTACCGTAGAATATTAAATGGCTGAAAGTGGTGCTGATGTAGTGTAGCAGTGAAAATCAGGCGCCAAGTATATTTTTGGCTCCAGATCTGCATTATCACCAGACTGATGTTCTCTGGGCATCACCTTACAACAGTTCATGCTTTTATTTTCTAGCCGCAATGCAGATCTGGATGCAAATATATACTAGATTTCCAAATGAGATTATTCTAATAAGCATTCAGCCTTCTATCTTAAGGGTTAGCTTGATGTGCTTAGCCATTTAAAATAAAAAGTAGAAAATGGCCATGAGAGATACTAATGTCTTTGAGGAGGAACTAGTTAGATAAAATCTTAATCATAACACACTGTTGCTGCAACACAGGGAATTTCATTAGACTTTATGCAAGAAGCCGAGCATTTCCTCTTTCACCTACTGTTTTGCAATCCTCTTGCTTTCTGAACTAACAATAGGGTTAGGGTTAGGGTGGCTCCACCACGCTGGAAAGATTTTGAATGGCCTTTTAATCCAGTGCCCTGACCATTTTGCTTATTGCTCCAGGTAGTTTCCTATCCCACCTCAGACTTCCTTCAACTACTTGCATTCAGAGTCTCTCCTGGAAAAGGGATCTGAAGACTTGGATTTCCCAACATCATTTTGCATAAGTGAGAGGAAAAATTGCTCAGTTGATGGAAAACCTGACCCAGCTTGTTTCTTGCCTGCTGGTGACATTTGCTGCCTGCTTCCATCTACTTTGCAGCTCGTAAGCAGACCACTGCCTTTCTGGCCATGCAAAGCACGCTGAACTACCTCTGGAAAACGGATGATGTGTTGGGTCAAGGTGCCACAGCCAGTGTGTACAAAGCCCGTAACAAGGTGAGGAGGCTTTATATATATAACTAGGATGCCCTGTGAGTGTGGTGTTTACTTAGCAAAGCAATTACACAACATAAATTTGAGGCATAACGGTAAAACGAGACTTAGAGCTGGAACATAACATAATTGGCATAAATACATTGGGTTGGATACAGATTTGACACATGAGAAGTCAATGGGGCATAATATAGTCATGATCCAACCAATTTAATTTAAATAATGGGAAGTGGAGTATTACCAGAGCAGCCCTAAGTGAGGCAGATGAAGGTTATACGGTTTAGTTAAGAACTGGTTTGAAGATCCAAGCCCAGATCAGAAGAGGATTTGAGAGCTGGGATGCCCCTAGAAAGCTAGACTTGCTTTTTTTTTACCATAATAAGTCTTGTGATTTTTGTTGTCAGGGCTGTTTCAAGTGTAACTCATTCTCATGAGAAGCTAAGGTGGCAGAGTTGCCTGAAAACTGGGTTGCTTCTAGAAAAAAATGCCACCACAGGCCCTATTAATGCATGTGTCTTCACATTAACATGGCTGCTTGGAGCACAATCATGCTCAATGTGGCTGCTGCGATCTTGAGTGCGAGAGCAGAGCAGAGCTCTGCCATTGGAGGAGTTTGTGCTGATGTAGCAAAATTCACAGCAACTGTGTGTAGAGGTGCATCAAACAAATGGCTAGTGTGTTCAAAGCTACAATTGTGACCTATACAGCCCTGGCTTGAGACCAGGTAACGTGAAGGGACACCTTCTCTCATAGACGACTGATCAAATTTTGAAATCTTTTGCAGAGGCTCCTCTCTCAGTCCTACCAATATCTGGGACACTTTTGGGGGAGTTCTGAGATGAGGTATTCTCAGTGGCTCTGCTCAAACTTTGGCACTCCCTTCCTAGGAAGGCTTTCTTGTGTTTCTTATGGCCTCCATCGAAGTGCCTATACTTTTTTTTATTTATTTAGGCAGGCCTCCAGCCTCTGGAACTAGCTCTGGGAATTTTTAAAGCAACAGCTCGTTTTCACCTGCTCACTATTTATCCCCCTCCTCCTTGTTCCTTTTTCTTTGGATGACAAGCTTTATCTGCTCTTTATCTTTATCTTCTTATAGGTCTTTTTATTGCATTTTTATTATTTCTGAGCACCTTGGGTGCTATATGGAGGAACAAATGATATAAATGAAATCTGTATCTGTATTGGATTTGAATCTGGGCTTTTAAAATTGTTAATCACTTCAGAATATTCTACAGAGCAAATGAAATAGCTGGAACCCATGGGAATAAGTAAACAAAATATGGTGACTTGTCTGCTGCATGTTTTGGAGATGTGCCTCTCTCCTCCTTCATGTTTACATGCTGCAGGGTCATACAGAATGAATAAAGGTTCCTGAAACCCTGCCCTTTGTCCCCCCCTCCCCCCCAGAAATCAGGAGAACTGGTTGCTGTGAAAGTCTTCAACAATGCCAGTTACATGAGACCTCAGGAGGTGCAGATAAGGGAGTTTGAGGTGCTGAGGAAGTTAAACCACCAGAACATTGTCAAGCTTTTTGCCGTGGAAGAGATTGTAAGTTGTGGGTTTCACTCTCAAACAAAGGCTGATTTATGTGTTATGTTTGGTGTAATAATGGTGGCATTGTGTAACACCCCACTAAAACGTATCTTAACTGAACACTGCAATTACTGAATCTTGTTTATCAAGGATGTTTATACGGTGTGTATATGTTCTCCCCTCCACACATAGCATACTGTTACTTTAGCCTTGCCTGAACAGCACTTCTGTTTATCAGGTCACTTGTTTATACTAAATGTGCCATGTGGAGTTATTTGTTATTTTTGTCAATGACACATCAGCATGTTGGACAACATTGCCTTCTTCGGCACAGCATTCAGATCAGAGGTAGGCAGTGTGGTGCCCTCCATATGCGCTTGGACTGCAGCTCCAACCTGCCCCAGCCCGCATGACCTGTAAGTCCAGCTTGATAAGAGTTAGGAGTTCAACTTTGTCTGGAGGACACCACTTGGGTACCCTTGATTTAGGCACTTGCTGACCTGCTAGCCCATCAAAGAATCCCTACTGCTGCCTTAATTTGTGCCAGGGCTCCATTTTCAATGAAGGAGTAGGGCCATAGTTCTGTGGTAGAGCATCTGTGTGCAGCGGCTATAAAAAAAGGGAAATTCCATGCATGTAGGAAGGTTCCTGGCATATCAGGGTAGGGCTGGGAATCCGGGAATCCTGGAGTGGTGCTGCCAGTCAGAGTAGACAGTACTGAGGTAGATGGACTCATTGTCTGACTTGGTATAAGGCGGCTTCCTATGTTCCTATTTAACAACGTGCCAATGGCCTACATCTTTCTGGGAATTTCCCTTCCATATCTGTGTACCACAGAATGTTATCAACCTCTCAAAATCCTGAGGTTTGAAAGTGTTTCCAGACAGTGAGATTAGAGGGAAAGCAACTCAGGCAAGGGTAGCCAGTGTAATATCTGTCAGGTGTTTTAGACCATAACTCACATCAACCTTAAATAGGGATGATTTAAATGCCACATTGACTACCTCTGAACAAAAAAATTGTCTGATTGAAGCTTTTCCTAAATAATAATAATAAGGTCCTCTCAGCTTGTAGAGAGCCAGTAAGACAGTAAGACTCTAGTATGCTATAGGCAGGGTGGTTTTTTAATTCAAAACTTAGGAACACACAGAATTCAATCATACATTTTTTCCTACCTGCATTCTGAAGTGGTATAGTTTCAGGAGAGCTGTACTGTATAGTTTTTTATTCTTTTTGCCTAAGCACACTTGAGCTTTAAGCACACTGACGAATTGGGGGACGGGCGGGGCGGGGGCGGGAATTCCCCTCATAAGGGAATAGAGGAATGAGTGTTCATAGCTGTGAAGGAAGTAGAAAATGCAAACAAGGATAAGAGGCAGTTCCTCTGCCTGCTGGCTTGTATTGGATTGTGCTGCCCCTGGTTTCCAAGTTTACTGTGCCATTCTATCTTTTGCAGTCTCTCCTGAGGACCAGTCTCAGCATATGTCACTTTTAGGAATGAAAAGCAAAGGTGTCGTTTTGAGTGCTAAATGCTTTTGTCACCCATCCAGTCTATACGCAATGAGCAATTAGTAGACTGGAAAATCTTACCAGTCCCGGGGCAGTGAAGCAGCCAAGTGTCTGCGTTGTGACGAATCTGTTCTCAGTGTGCATTTAAGGGCTAGTGACTTGTTGTGTGGAAGTTACATTCCAGATGCAGCCCATCCCAATTTTTAACAGATCACCGTATGTGAGGAGTTTATCCTTTCCCTCCCCAGCCATGATCAGGATGAAAAAATCCCACCCTCTCTGGCACAGCTACCAGGGTTAGAAACTAATGGGAACTTTACACGCCCCCATAGAATGGGCGGGGGGGATTTTTGTACTAATCACATCTAAGAAGGGAAGGAATAAATCTTCCCTGAATTCCCATGAGCTGTAGTCCTGATCAAAACCAGATCCCCTGCACCTGTAATTAACTGAAGGGGAAAAAACAGACATTGCTGCATGCTAAACCCCTGTTATCAGCATGTGTGACGGTTGCGTGAACTACAGTGAGTCACGAATGGGGTGAGCACAGTTGCACACAGATCCTGCTAGTGGGCTTTCCGTGGGCATCCAGTTGGCCAAATGAGGACAGAAATGTTGGACTAGATGGGCCTTTGGTCTGATCTGGCAGGACTGCTCTCATGTTAAATAATATGCAGATTTCCCCCAAACAGTAGTAATTAACTTGAGAACATTGCTAAGAGGACTCATTTTCATCCTACGGTGGGAATGTGCTTTGAGATGCTGATCCAACATGACCTTGGGGGTCAAACCCAGATATATACACAGGGATAATTTACCCTTACTGACTTCAGATCACGTGCTTATATGGTCTCCTCTTCACTTCCTTCTGCACACTACTTCCATCCTATCATTTGGAAAGAGACTCAAGATACACACAGAGATGAAGTACATCAAATGGGCAGGGACTGGGCTGTGTCTGAGAGTTGCTTACTTGCTCCCATTACTTCGCTCTCTTCAGTTAGCTCTTTTCTGAAACTTCATGTGGTGTATAGCTAAAACAAAACGCATGCACACCCCTTTGCTCGCAACTGCTTTTACCTTTTAGGAGAATGGATTAAAGCCCCCGTATTTTACCAATGAGGTTAAAAGCAGCTTTGTGGATTTTCAGCAGGGGAAAGAAACAGCATAAAGAGAAAGGCTTAAGAAGCCCCCTCCCCACTTGGTCTTTATCTTTCCCTTCAAATAACCAGACTCATCAGTTGTATTGTGTATTGTGTATGACATGTATTAGCGCCCTTAGTCTTGCAGGGGATTTATGCTAGCTTCTGCTGTTGCAGCATGAGATGATTGGAGCACTAGCACATTCTGTAATGGAGTGCATGCTATCAGGCATACAGCTCAGCCCCCATAAGGTGGGATTTCATTTTTGCCCTCAAATTCAAACACAGGAAAGCTGCAAACAGAAGGTGTTGGTGATGGAGTACTGTTCAGGTGGGAGCCTGCTGAGCCTCTTAGAAGACCCAGAAAATGCCTTTGGCTTGTCAGAATCAGAGTTCCTCATAGTGTTGCACTGTGTAGGTAAGTAAGTGTGACTGCTCTGTGGGCCAAGATGAACCTTACATCCTACAAATGACTTTGCACAGCCTTCAAACATAATGCTTCCTGTGTTCCAATACAGTGCCAAACTAGATGTGACATTATTCATCGCCTTAGCGATGGTGTGTTTACTTTTTTAAACATAAGTAGCAAGCATGTGGGCAGCCAAGCTGGATCAGGATCACAGTATGGGAGGGTGGGGGCTTTAAGCCTTTGCCCCTGACATGGCTCTGATTGCAGTTGCCCCTACCTCACACATGTGCCTACATAAACTATTCACAAGTGAAATCTGCCATGGTCTGGAAGGATTAGTTCCAATCAGGACCCAGATAGGGACAAATACATAAATCCCTCTCCACCACAAACAGTCCCAATCCAGTTCCAATGCCCCCCCCCCCCATGTATTGGTTAATGAGCAACTTATAACCAGAGATCTAAACCATGGTTTAATAAACCATGGTTTAGCATTACGTGTGAACCAGACCATTGTGTATCTTCATGTTACTTTTGTCATGGGAGAAAGCCCAGAGAGACCAGAAAATTCTGATTCCTGTTAGTGCCTTTTTATAGAAGAATGATCACATCTTTCTTCCTTTTTTAGTGGCTGGCATGAACCATCTCCGTCAGAATGGGGTTGTCCACAGAGATATCAAACCCGGAAACATCATGAGGCTGGTTGGAGACGATAACCAAAATATCTACAAACTGACTGATTTTGGGGCTGCCCGAGAATTAGACGATGACGAAAAGTTTGAATCAGTTTATGGGACAGAAGAATATCTTGTGAGTAAAGTGGAATGCTGGAGATTTTTTTATTAGTAAAAGAAGGCTGAAGATTCCTACTGACAGATAATTCGGGGGGGGGGATCTTTTTTGCAGCTGGAACACGGAGAGCTGGATCATTTTTTAAAATAGAAAAATAGGGTCATTTCAGAGTAGACATTGCAATCTTCTGTTTCCAGAAGAAAGGAACATTTAATGAAAGTTACTGTGCTTTGTGCTATTAGGGTGGTTACGTTTGGGTAACCTGCAGAGTCATCCAATGAAGCTGAAGAATGGGTAATTCAGAACAGATGAAAGAAAGTATAGGCTGATTAATAAACTAAAGAATTTACTGCCCTAGGATGTGGTGGGGGCTTTAAAATGGGATCAGACAAATTCATGGAGAATAAAGCTTTCAGTGGCTGATAGTCATGATGGTTGTGTTCTACCTCCAGGTTAATCAAGCTATTGATTAAATTTGCATAAATCTATATCTGGATAAAATTGATATTTCTGAAGCAAGAAGCACATAATCTTCACTTTAGGTTATTCACATTTTATAGGCATTCCTCTCGTTTGGGAGAGAAAGGATAATACAGTACATTTTTTAAAGATAGTGCTTTCCATCTCCTGTTTTTAGACGTGATCTTATTTAAAAATATATTTTCTAAAAAACTGCTGCTTGATTTAATGGGAGGTAGGGGTTTTTTAGTTCAGTCATTTATCTGTTTTAATCTAACTGATCAACTGAATGTTGCAGATTTAATTTTAGCACGCATTGCTTATTTTATTCCCTATTTCATTTGTGGCTTTTAAATGCTTGAATGGCCTTGATACTAAAGCCGTCTTTCCTTTTCCTTTTCTTTTCTTTTACCTTATCACTTAAAGCACCCAGACATGTATAAGCGAGCAGTGCTGAAGAAGCCCCAACAGAAGGCTTATGGGGTGACTGTAGATCTTTGGAGTATTGGGGTGACATTTTACCATGCAGCCACAGGCAGCCTCCCATTTATCCCATTTGGGGGACCACGCAGGAACAAGGAAATCATGTATGTATTTTGTATGTTTTCTTGATTTGCCTGCTTTATCTCTTCTTCACACACTAAAAAGTGGGGGGTGGGGAGAGAGGAGGGAACACAACACATCCAAATTAATGTTATATATATCTGTGTAAGGGTGATAATCTCACCATTCTTGCTAACTCCTAAAGATGGGGTGCTTCATTCAACAGGTACAAAATAACAACTGAGAAACCTACTGGAGCTATAGCAGGAACCCAAGAGCAAGAGAGTGGAGCCATCATGTGGACCTATGAGCTTCCAATCACATGCCGGCTTTCTGTGTAAGTAGAAAGGGATTGGATAAGCTAATGATTAAGAGTGTTGGAAATTCTGCAGCACAATCTCTTTCTTACCTTAATCCTTACCCGGGAGTAGGTCCTGTTGGATGTAGTGGGACTTGCTTTTGAGTAAAATGCACAGCTCATATTTTTTATTATCAAGGCTCTTTTACACAATGCAGGTCATGTTTGTTTGTTTTTGTTATCTAATTGTGTGTGAAAGGCACATAGATACCCACCCACATACACAATTTGCATCTGAGAGATCGTGGAACTCTGGCAGGCTTTAAGAACCTCCATCAAATTGCCTCATCCTCATTTAAACACATCTAAATCAGTGCTTATCACCACATCTCAAGGCGGGGGTTCCACAAGTTTGTATTTTCGGCTGTAAAAGGCTCCCAGGTAGCTTACATATATCAGTGAAAAGACAGTCCTTGCCAAAAGGCTTACAATTTAAAAGACACAACGCAAAAGAAAATGGGGTGGGGAGCGAGCATGAAAAACGTACGCCTGGGCACTAGTTCTTAGTTGCATAATTATGCACTGTATGGAAAAAGTTGCTTCCCTTTGTCTGTCCTGAATCCATTGCCAATTTCATTGGGTGACGTCAAGTTTGGATGCCTATTAGAGATGAATAAATATTTCTGTCTATTCCCTTACTGCATACCAGAGGCAGGCATAGGCGTGGTTAGTTGCTTCATGCCCTTGGTTGGCATCTATTCCTTACCAGTAACATTTAAACAACTGCAGATCCCATAGAGTTGCAAGGATGACGTGGATTCCACTTAAACCAGCACCCCCCTACTCAGTTGTGTCCACTATGTACGACTGTGGGTAGTACGTAGGTCGAGAGTATGGAACTTTCTTTCTTCTTTTTTGCTCTAGAGGATTGCATTCCTGTGAAGCATGACATCTCTTCAATAATTGAATGTGAATGGGTTTTTGTTTGGGTTTGTTTTTTTCATTGGAAACATATCCCATCAGGCAGGGATACTATTAAAACAGAAGCTGGGCCTTCTGTTTTTGCAGGATCTGGCCACATTAGTTAAGAGCAATCTGATCAGGCAGACTTAATAACAACACCCTCTTTTCATGCCAGCACTTTGACAGACAGACATTCCGGGGGTGCGGTGGGTAGAAATAGATTGTCTCTGCAAGACTGGCTGCTCTGGCCAACTCGCCAGCTGCTCTGGCTTACAGCATCCCTCTGCTCTCACTGCTTTTCTAGAAGATGAAGACCCTCTTTTAGGGAAGAGGGCTTATTTTTGCTCATCAGGCTGGTTTGAATGAGGGAGCAAAGAAAGCTTCTTGAGTGGTTTCAGGAAGAAGAAAGAGTGTGACTCGGGCAAGAGGCAGGCTGCAGCTCAGAAAACCAACTGGAGCTCTGGAAGCATATTTAAGGTGCAAGAGGCCCTTCGTAGAAATCTGATGAGGGAAAATATCTATTGTGGTATTAATGCTGTAAATCTCTCTACCTATGCTCAGCCTGAATCTTTGTAAATAAACACAAATATTACTAAATGCCAGAAGGGTCCTGTGCCCTTATTCCAAAGGAAACTGATTCACACTGGAAGAACTTCTCACTGCTTGGAAAACTGGGGTCAGCAGTAATGTCTGGGTTTACTTCTCTACTCCTTACAGTGGGCTGAAGAGGCAGCTTGTCCCCATCCTGGCAAGCATCCTAGAGGCTAATCAAGAGGAGTGCTGGGGCTTTGATCAGTTTTTTGCTGAAACCAATGACATCTTGCATAGAAAGATAATCCACGTCTTTTCTTTGTCGCAAGCTACCATGCACAAGATCTACATCCACTCCTACAACACGTAAGGATTGTTGCCTTGGGCAGAGAAGGGAGTAGAATCCAAGTGCCCTAATCTAATGCTCAGGCCAGAGTTTTACTACAGGTTGGCAAATTAGCTATAAAATAGTTGAGAAAGCTTAAGTTGCATATAAATAACAATATCCAGAACTGAGGATTGCTGTTGTGGCAGCGCTGCATTCTAGAGGTGGAAAGTTGAGTTCTGGGTTTTTGAATATCGGAGATAAAGTATTTGGTTAAATAAATAGCTGATGTGCCTTGCTATTATCTCACAGGCACTGGGTGTTTTGGAATTGCTGTATAAAGAAATAGGGTGACTCTTAAATTGCTGTTTCCTCTTAGTTTCTGACAAGATAAGAATATTCAGCTGCCTGTTTTTTTATGAATGACTATTGAGAACCTATTAATTCTGCATGGCACAAAAACTTTGCTGACTTCACTTCTAGGAAGCAGTAGGTGGGTCACAGTCATGTTCACCTGGGTGATTAATGTTATGACGGAAGCCTTAGGGAGAGTAGTCATCTAGCAGAATAGTAATCTACGGTAGAATATATGAAATAGGTTAAGGCAGAAAGCCTGAATGGTCCTGCATCAATTTAAGTGGGTCTAATAAAATATCATATTATTGATTATGATGATGATGACTATCATCATCATCATCACCATCCACTACCATCAAGGGTTTTTGCTTTGCCTGGTGTTCAGAAGAGAACAGCAGGCACTTTCTCTTGAAATGTTAGTGTTCTGGGAGGAAGAGTTGCTCTGTAACTATTCTTTTTATCTTTGTTTTGAACATTTTATCCTGCATTTCTGTTAAAATAATCACGGTGACTTGGGAGACTAGTGTGACCTTAAGTAAGTCTCTGTGGTCCCTATTTGACAATATTTGACAGGGGATAGGGTGTCATTTCATTCCCTACATCAGGTCTTTTTAACCCAGTTTTGAAAAGCATCCATTCACCTACTAGAATCAGGATATTTTGAATAATTTATTGAATGTGAGAACAAAGCTGGCATGGCAAGCTTTCCTGGGGAAGGAATTCTAGAGAGGGTACTACTGCCTGTCTTGGATAAAGAAGGGGTGCTGCTTCATTGTAAATGAAAACAATGATCCTTTGTCCCTCTGCTTCGTATTCTTCAGAGTCCCCATATTTTTAGAAGATGTCTTCAGGCAAACAAATATACCTCCCCATCACCAGGAGTATTTCTTTGAGGGTTACTCCTATGAACTGGAGCCTAACCTGCAAGCACATCGTTTCCCCAAAACCACTGAAACCTGCCCTCTTATCATGCTGAGCACAGAACTTCGGGATCCAGTGATGCTGAGATACAGAGATCGTGAGTTTGTGTAGTTTTGCATGCACGTAATCTCTTTGCCTGCCTTGAGTAGTTGCTTGCTATGACTCTGCATTCATAACTAGGTCCATACTCATTTACTCCATACAAAATTGGCACCATAGTCCTGTTTATATGGAACAGAGATAGAACCCAGGAAGTTTCCTGCTCTGTCGTAGACTGGCGTTCATAATCACCCATACATATCCATATTTGGGGTTTGCATATTTTGGGCACTAGGTGTCAGTGTTCCACAGCTGCAGAGCGACAGCGTTTCTTTCCTAATGGGTGCACATTTTGTCCAACATTCACTATGGTTTCTGTTGCAGCAATGTCTTTTCCTTGATATGGAATGTGGGGAAAGCTTGTGCTTTGATTTTTTTATTTTGTTTTTGTGTTTCAGCTGCTTTGGAATTCCCAAAATTCCCCCCAAAAGTTGATGTCGTTGCAGATTGCAGCACAGCAAAGGTATACCTTGCTTACAAGCTTAGGAAGACTAGGGGCAATTTGGAAGGGCTGTTCCCTGTCTGTTTCTTACCCAGACAATACAAGAATTGAAGGCTTATGGCTGCCACCTGGGTTCATGTGCTCCGATATCCAGGAATGGCTAGGAAAAGGAGTAGATCAGGCTACAACTCCCATGATCCCTAGCTAGCAGGACCAGTGGTCAGGGATGATGGGAATTTTAGTCTCAAAACATCTGGAGAGCCGAGGTTGAGGAAGCCTGGAGTAGATTATTCAACACACCCCTCTTTTTCTATCATCTAAATCTGTGGTCAGAGAGAGATGAACCACACTAGCCTAAGCCCCAGGTGATTCAAGTGGTGGGAAGGAGGAGAGAGAGAAACATTGCCCAAACCATTCCAGCTACTTATCCAGCTGCATCCGTTTTGATTCCGGGGGCTGACTGCAGCTTAAAAGGATAAACGACCTGCTGGATCAAGCCCAAAGTGTCGCTCATAAAATTGTTTGCAACTGTGATAGTTAGATGGCAAGCAAGGCTGCAACCTTCACCTGTGTCATTTAGCAGATATATATCTGTACTTGGAGCTTCCATTGAGTGATAGCCACTGATACGCAGACTTTTTGGAACCATCTAAACTAGACTTCTTTATGCCCCCTCCAACCTTACTGTCTTTGGAACATGTGCATCAGAATGCTTCCTCCCCACAGCTGATTTGCACTATAAAAATATCTCTGCTTCAGACAGTGACTCTTAAGCCTTGATCTCACTTCATTTCTTGGCTGTTATGAAAATGGAGCAAAATATCTCAGATGAGCTGTTGCACTGAAAATGGTTTTGTTTTCGTGGTTGTTGATGTTTTTGCTTTGGCAGCTTCTTTAAACAAAAACATATATTTACATTAATATTAAAATGCTGTGGAATGCAAGTTTGTGGAAATGTGGAAAAGGGTTAATGGATATTAAAACTCAAATAGCATAATCCAGATCCCCCTCCTATGATGATGGAAACTGGAGTCCAACCATATCCAAAGAGCCACAGGTTAGCCTCCTTTGCCTTAAAGGACAAATATTTCCAGCTCAAAATCCCCCTTCCCTCATTCTGCTGTGCTCTGCTCCACTCTTGGCTTCAGGCAGGGAGAGGGAGGGAATTTCCTATAATCGCCAGCCTCTTTCCTATTCGGCATTCTCCCTCCATCCCCAGCCACACATTAACTCCTGGTTTCTTGTCGTCTACACCATCTCCCTCTAAGTGGTAACTTTCTAGGGTATTTTTGGGGCCCACCTTAATTTTGTGATAGAACATTGTTTTAAACGGTTTTTTAATATTGTGTTTTAATGTTGTAACGCATCCTGGGATCTTTGTGTGAAGGGTGATTAATTCTTCATCATTTCTGTGATCATGTCTCCGTGTATATCTGGGAACTCCGCAAGGTGGCAGCACTGCAGTATACAGGGCAATCATATACACCATTGCTTTATCCTTTAGGGTGTCCTGACTGCAACTCACCAGACGTTGAGGATATCTCAGTCCTTTCTGCAGTGTCAAGAGCTCATGCTCAGAGGCCTATATTGGGTGAGGTATGTAAAATATCTCCTGCTGGTGCATTGCAAGCGATACAGCAGGGTCTTTTTTGACAGCTGATTAAGGTGCCTTCAGCTTCAGTTCAGATCATTCATTTCCTCCAGCTTTCCCAAACAGCTTACATCATGCACATGGCTGCCCATAGGCCATACACCACTATTGCCTCTTATAGCGAGTGAGCAAATGTTCACAACTGCTTGCCTAATTTGGGCCATTGTTCTCTGGCAAATGACATGTTTTCACTGTCTGCCCCCTTGTTGTTTTTTCCTGTTTCTTTTTCCACTCAAGTCTCTTTTGCTCAGCATTCAGACTTGCCACATGAAGGTGATGAGGACTGTGCTGGCCTGTCCTCTTGCCCTTGTCCCTGGGGGCAGCTATTCCTGCCTAGACACAGAGAGCTTTCTACATGTATTAGACCTGCGGGCTTGCACATGCACAGACGAATGCACATTGAGCATTGGGTACTGCAAACTGTGTAGATGTTAGCTTCAATTCACAAGTGGTCTAGAGATGGGCTGCAAGGTGGGAAGTGCAATCCGGATCCTTCCCTACTTGGTGACTTTGAACATTTGTGTTAAGGTCCCCGTTATCCTTCTGCAAAGCAGTGAGCAATGTAGCACCCAGGTTTTTATCGGTGCTCCTCATTCACAGAAGCATAGAACTGTAAAGATGGAAGGGACCCTGCGGGTCATCTAGTCCAACCCCCTGCAATGCAGTTATTTCAACTAGATCATACATGACAGATGGCCATACAACCTCTGCTTAAAAGCCTCTGAGGAAGGAGATTCACGCCTTCTGAGGGAGTTCATTCCATTGTCAAATATCTCTCGTCATTGGACAGTTCTTCCTGATGTTTAGTCGGAATTTCCTTTCTTGTAACTTGAGCTTCTTTTTACCCACTTTATAAACTTAAAAGGCAACAATGAAGCACTTGGTGCTTTATTAAAACAATATGCATAGATCCAGATGAAAACTTTGAGTAGGGGTTTTATAGATTCAGTGTTTCCAGCATAATGAATGTTATGTGATAACATTTTCATTGCTCTGTGCAAGTTTGCTTTTTTTCAAAATAACCAGTTTCCAGCCTAGTCAGTGGAACACCATGAATTTGCTTCATGTTACAGAAATAAACAGGCAGATAGTATGGAAAGTAGGGTGGTGATTATGGCAGGGCAGACATGCCTGTTGACTTTAAACCTTATAGCTATATAACTCTTCAATATTGGGGGTGAGTGTGTGCAGAATGAATGGATACAGTGGCTTGAATTGTCACACTTTCCAACATGTCAGGAATTATTTTCTGAATATAGAATGTCAAAACGAGACATGGAGACAATCATGTGGCTAATGTGGGAAGGAGCAGCTGAGCTGAAGGAAACATTAGCTGGTTTATAGACCAGAAACAATGTCTGTTCCTGGCTACTCCATACATTTTGTGGAGAATCCAGTTAACTAATAAACTCCAAGGCATTCTTAGAACAGTCATTTCTCACATTGTGCACAAAAGGCCTCAAGTTCCATTACAAGAAAGGGTTTATATAAAGAAGCATAGAGTTGTAATCACTCATTATATAATATATTTATCTAACTTAAACAAGGCTGCTTCCAATGCAGTGTATACTCCAGAGCAGCAGTGGCTGGAGTGGGGATGGGACTAGAACTGAGCTGAAATTCCTCAGAAATATAACTCTGTATTCGGCAGCAGGAGTGGAAGGGCATCTTTGTCTTTGAACCAGCTTCAGGTAGGGCACAAGTACCTTTGTCCTCATATTCTTCTCCAAGCTCACATTTCCTACACCCATGTATGTTTTGGTACTCCCATACTATAGCCTTCCTCTGAGCTTTACAGAAAACCAATAATTGGCTGTAAGGGCCAGACAAAATCTAAGGAGGTCCTTAGATCATCGGTTGAGACATCCCTGCCCTAAAATATGGGGGGGGGGGGGGAGATGTCAAATCAACCTTGCCTTTCCTTCTAAAATGCACTGCAAACAAATCAGTGGTATCTTAGACCCACATACTCCTGACTGCCGAGCTATATATTGCAAGAGAGATCCGTGATTGGTTCTCCCATTTCCCACCAATAATTGAACTTTTGCTTTTCAGGCAGCAGCAGCAGGGAAAGGCAGTGTTCAATCCTTGCTTTTGTGCACTGTTTTCCAGATCAGAATCTCTCCCAAAGTTGCCCTTCACTGTGCAAAGCAGGGGGTGGGGGATCCAGGCATTTTTGCTGTGGGTGGGGAGTGGACAGCTCACTTTTATGTTGTCAAGAGAAGACAAGTCTCCATTTAAACAGGGAATAAGTGGAAGATTGTGGAAGATGTGTTTTTACAGCATAAATGCAAGTCTATGCAAGAGACCTGAGGCCCATATAACCAGAAATTCTGGTGTTGCCTTTCTTTTTTTTCTTTTTTTCTTTTTTTTGCAGTGAGACCCTGAAATTGGAGTGTCTGCGGATTCTAGAGAAGCAGCAAGGTGTGATGGCAACACTCAGTTCCTTGCAACGAGAAGAGATGAAGGTTCTGCTGCTGTAAGTGTTGCTTTTCAGTGGTAACTGTGACACTGCAGCCAACTTAAAACCCAACATGCATTACACCAGTGGAACCCCCAGGACAGAACCTGGGAGCCAATGCACGGGGCCCTATTCAGCAAAATTTGAATGAGCTGGCCCAGACTCAGCTGGTCAGGCTTACCACATTTTGAAATTACACATTGAAAAACACATTGTCATCTATAGAGAGGGGACCTATAAGACCATTAAATTCAGAGGCTTAAATTACTTAACTGCCCTGCTTCGTTGCATAAGAGGAGTATTCTGTCCTGCAGAAAGATGCCAGGGTCTGAGGCCCAAGTTCAGAGAAGTGCTTCGATTATCATGGGGTTAATAATGCTTTGGGATTGCAACTGCCTTCTCCCAATATTAGATGGACAATATATCTCTTGTCACGGGTGCAGTGGGCTTTCTGCTTCACATGTGTGTTTTGTACGTGTGCTTTCCATTTCCAAGAGGAAGGTGCAGAAAGACTTCTTCCCTCTCATTCTGCAATACGTTTGTGTGTGTACATATGCATATATGTGATCAAAGACATATCTCTTGAGGACAGAAGGTTGGAAGCTTCTTTGTATTCTGGCAAAGTAGTCCTTGTTTGTTTTTAAAGGGGAAAATGCTTTGCTTCAGTAAATGGACAAACTGTTAGGTGGGCCAGTTTGCAATATCTGGACAGAAAGCGAGCAGAGCTATGTTCTTTGAGGATTGCTGCCTAATTTGGCTTTCCTGTGTTCACAAAGGGAGATAAATCAAAGTTCTTGGTGGGCAAATAAGAGCTTTCCATGAAGCACAAAGTGGCTTTAAAATATGTTGCCTGGTCAACCCAGGAGGGGCGAGATGCTCTAGTCTAAACCAATCAAGTCTCATTATCGCTTATCAGTTACCCAGTCTGCCTTTAAAAAAAAAACCCCAAACCCCATCTGCCTCATGAACAATGGACAGGGCTGCAAAAATTCAAGTGCCTAGAAGCGCCTGACAGCTAGGTTGGGTGAAAGGTCAGATGCCTGGTTTCTCTTCCTCCTGTGTGTGCTGCTGTTTGTAGAAGCAGATGGCAGCAAAGAATGGATGGATCAGCATGTTTCGTATCACATGTGTTTCACATGTGTTCATTCATATGTCTGTTCTATCCTATTTTTGTGTTAATTTTTAGTTTCCTGTAAATTAGAAGCCTTCATGAGCACAGGAGGCTCCCTGCTGCAGAGGTTTGCTCCTCAGCTCATGGGCGGGCGGTGTATACCAGGGGAAGGTGTGGCATGAAAGCTGGTGGGCCTTGCCAGTACATACAACCCACTCTTCCTCATGTGAGTTTCAGAGCATGAAGAAACAGCACACCTGAATAGGTTTGGCCTTTAGTCCGCTTCCTCAGCAAAATACTTTTCCTCACTACTTCAGTTCACAAACTGTAGCCACTGGCTAGGGTAGAGGTAATCAAGATGGTGCCCATGGGCCTAGCCAGGGGGGCAGCTCCCCCTCCTCAATCAAGTAAATAAATAAAAATACCTAAACCAATTGCATCACAGATAACTTGGTTCTGCCTCCCCGTAACATAAAGCCTGCCCCCATAAAATAAATCCTGACTGCGCCCATGTTGGTGCCCTTGGGCTAGAGCAGCCTTTCTCAACCTTGGGTCCCCAGATGTTGTTGAACTACAACTCCCATCATCCCTTGCTAGCAAGACCAGAGCTCAGGGATGATGGGAGTTGTAGTCCAACAACATCTGGGGACCCAAGGTTGAGAAACACTGGGCTAGAGGGACAGCTCAAGTCAAGTCATGATTATTTCCAGGTATGCTTCAGCTCTGTCACCTCACAGTTGAGCTCTGTCTGAATGGAAAGCAGCAGAAGGTAGCAGCAGAAGACCAGAATCGTTCCAAGTCAACTATCCTCTCACTATTAACGCTCCGTTCTCCATCTCACCAGCTCTTATGTTTGCAGCCTTGGGGAAAGATTTCTTCACAGAGCAGCCTAAAGCAGGGGTCAGCAAACTTTTTCAGCAGGGGGCCGGTCCACTGTTCCTCAGACCTTGTGGGGGGCCGGATTATATTTTGGGGGGGAAATGAACCAATTCCTATGCCCCACAAATAACCCAGAGATGCATTTTAAATCAAAGGACACATTCTACTTATGTAAAAACACGGACCATCCACTGGCTGGATTTAGAAGGCAATTGGGCTGGATCCGGCCCCTGGGCCTTTGTTTGCCTACCCATGGCCTAGAGGCTTGTCCAGATACCTCAGGGAACTTGGAGCAGTACTTCCCCAGATCCAGAGGGCTTGTGCTGATTCCCTTGCAGCCAGCTGCACTCAGCTTGAGACAATTTGTTTGGGATCAAGTGTTGCTTGCTATCTAAATGGTTGCCTTCTCACATCCTCACTGTGAAGCTGCCCTGGGGAAAAAGATATCTAGGGTTGTTGTTTTCTGGAATGCCTCCCATTTGCCCATTGGTGCCATATACTACTGAACCGGGAATGTGGAAAATCACCATCTGGAGGAGCTAGGAGATCAAATTTTTCCACAGCAGGAAGCTCTTAGTGCCTACTAAGTGCATCAAGATTCACTGCTGCTTACAGCCAGGTTGTGCTAACAGACAATTAAGGCCAGAGAAAGGGGATATAATTTGGGTGAAAGGGGACAATAAGTAGCCTCTTCTTCTTGGAGGGTTACCAGCGATTACAGAGGCAACTGCACTTTTTGAACATTTGTTCCCTGTTTCATAGGAGCTTAGAGTAGTGGCCGAGTCTGGCTGAGATTTCTTATGTTCTGTATTACAGAGTACAGCAAAAATAGTGGAGCCACAGGGATGAAGTCAGAGAGCAGCACTCTAATTTTGAGCTTTGTGCAAGTGGGGGAAAGGAGACTGACTGCTTATTAAATTTTTTAAAAGCAACGATGTAGGAGGTTTAACATGTTTGCAAGCCCATAATTACCCAATGCCATCATCTGCCAGGAAATGGCCCAATAAATGCACAACCTTCACTTCTCCAGTTGACACCTTGGCCTCTCTTCCATGGGTCTCAGCTCTCCTTTCCCACCTCATTCCCTGGGTCTTCTCATTTCCAAATACAGCTGCCTCTTTGTCCCACTTGTGTCCCTGTGTTGTTGTTTTCTCTCTCTGCTCTCCATCTCAGACTCCTAAGCTTTGGTTTTCCTTTCCCTGCAGCTTGTACGTAGCTCCAAATTCCTTTCCCCTTTGCTTTCTGGGAAACTGTGGTTTTACATCACCACCACACACAGACACCAGCTAAGAAAACCACTGCATTTTAAGTGCTGCCATATGTGGACTGTTACTGCATGAGAGTTTCCTGTGATGCAGTGGGTGGCGAACAATACTTCTCTTCCCCACTCCCACCATGCCATTTTGAAAACTTTTTGCAACAGTTCTTCTTTGTATTTATGGAAATTTCTTGGGTAAATTGAATATTTTTTTCTGTTTTGGTTACTTTGCAGTTATAGAGATTGGTAAGCCCCTCTGAAGACTGATCAGAAACTGTTCCTCTTTTTTTTTTTTACCCCATTCACCATAATAGGTACAAGACTATTGCTGGGGTTGGCGAGATTCCAGAGATTAAAGGCCTGGCGGAACTGAAAACAAGACTTCAAGCTGTGAGTTATTCCCATGACCACCTGTTAATAGCAACTTAGACGGCTGAGAGTTCTGTGTGGCAACTTCTCTTGTATGCAAAAGGTCTGATCTAAGCCAGAGCTACTTGGGAAAAGAAGTAGCTTTGTAATGATTGATTAACACAAATGGGTTAAGGGAATAGAGCGGGTGGTCTTCTTTTTGATTGATGGTTATACATATATACATGTTGTACATACATGCTTAGCGTTGCTGTGAGAACTACGATAAAGTTGGATTGTATCTAATGACTTTATACAAGTATCCATAAAAATATATGCCTAATGCATGTGTGTGAACAAGAAATGGTGGTTTTGTGTGTGTGTGTGTGTGAGTGAGAGAGAAAGAAAGAAAGAAAGAAAGAGAGAGAGAGAAAGAAAGAAAGAAAGAAAGAAAGAAAGAAAGAAAGAAAGAAAGAAATGTAAGTTTTATAATATGTAAGTATAGATGCTCTGAAGTGAAACATTCTGGTCTTCCCTTTTGTCTTTTCTGGCTCAGGTTGAAGAAATTTCTAAATGTTTCCAAAGCATCTCTGATCACCAGTCGGTTGTGCAATGCATTCTGTCCGATGTGGGAAAGAAAAGGAGTCAAATAAAAGAAGTCAGAAGGTTGGTAGAATAGTATTTTCAGTGTTAAAGGCTGCAAGGCACTTACACAGGAGTAAGTCTAGGTGAGCACAGTGCGGCTTAATTCTGAGTAGACATACATAAGCTTGAATTGCAAGACTTAGTATAAGAGTAATGGTTGCTTAAATATCCACATCCTAAAAATCTAGAGGGTTTTGGTGATATCAAACCATTCATTATCAATATAGTACAGAGGTTGATTTATTACAAGTGATTTCCTGAGCCTGGTCCAATAAGGGCCTATGTCTTTGATATAACCCCATTCCAATGGTTGCAAGAGGAGGAATATAATTTTCCTAGGGAACAGGATATTGTTGCCTTTGTGATAACTCCAGAATAGATGTCCTCTTAGGAAGGGTCCTCTTCTAACCAGGCTCTTGTAGATGGATCACCTGTTCTATGTGTTTTCAAGTAGCCAAAAGAATACTTGTTTGTTTGTTCATTTCAAATTTCTTGTCTGAGGCTCATGGGGTGGTTTATAATGTAAAAACACAAAAATATGTAACATAATAGCAAATGAAAACAATATCACTCTCCCCGTGGAGTGGAAAGACTCCATTTTATTTATTTAAAATATTTAGATATCACTTTTGTACCAAAAAGGCATTCAAAGTAGTTACAAAAAAGGAACATTAGAACAACAAACCTGATGTTTATTAGTTCGGTATCAATGTTTAAAAAGAACTAAACCCACCAATAAGCAGCAGATAAAAACAGTATCCCTTGTATAATCTTTCTTACCTCATCTATGCCAGTCTAATCAGTTCAGGTGGTATTGCTTATACAGTAATAGGCTTTGGTTATTGGCATTCACAAGGAACTAGTTCTCTTTGTGGACTGTCACCTCTCTAACACCCCTCCTTACAAAGCCATATTATTAATGCTGGCCAGCAAATGGCTTTGTGACACTGACTATGATGAGCACACCATAAAAATAAGTGACAATGTAAACATAGCCTTGATTAAACTCCAGCCACTGGGGAAGCAAACAGCAGGTTTCCAAGTGCAATCTATTTTGCCTCTTCTGTCTGGAGAAGCTCAGCCATGCTCTGTCTTCGTTGATACCTTAAACATGTCTCAAGAGATCCTATGTTCAAGCTTCAGGTAATAATAGTCTTGAGACCAGGGCCAAAAACATCCCTCGGTCTGAATATGCATAATCCTCCAGCAGTAAATAGCACATCTCAGTGAATGGAGCAGTGCCTGATACCCCGCCTCCCGGAAAAAGCAGCTACAATGAGAATGAGTTGTGGAATCATGTTGATGAGATGCGAGGGGCAGTACTGATATGCAACCCAGGGAAGGAATGATGCCCTAGGATGCTTCAGGCAGCAGTTTGAACCTGGCAGGAAAACCTTCACCAGCATGTAAGTTTAGAAATGAACACCTTCCTACACCTGTGAACAGGTGAGCTTGACTAGTGGATAGCATGCAATCTCTCTACATAATTGAGACTACCAAAAATGAGTTCTTGAAGTTGTGATGCAGCCATATTGGCAGCTAGAGAAGTATTATATGGCCTATCAGCTGAAGCATCATTTGGAGAGATATCATATGGATAGGGTGTGGTCAGGGAACAGGGCAATATAATAGAGGTAAAAAGTGAGAAGCTCTTGGTGGAAAACTATCTTGCCCTGGGGAGGAGGATGCCTGGCCATGACTTCAGACCTTCTGCTGAAGCTCTTCTCCAAGTGCCTTCCTCAGCTGAAGTGTTCTAAAACAGAAGGCTTCTTTGGTGCTGGTACCCCAGTAATGGAACACACTTTGTATCTTTTTAGTTGCTGCCACGATATTGTAAATGTTATGGTATTATTATTTTAGTTTTCTTTGTTACTGTTGGATGAAGGGTGGCTTGCAGATATTTTAAGTGCATGCAGCCTGGTGAGTAACTGGGCTAGCATTTTGAAGTCCTTTGCTATGCTGCTGCTGCTGCTGGAGAGAGGTGAGGCTTGTAATCAGGGAAACCTCCATGACAAGTGTCACAGGAAGGAAAGGAGCATCACTTGTTTTAGTGTCCGTTCTTGGATGTGTTCATTCCTCTCAGCTGACTGTCTCAGTACTTGTCAGCCATGCACAGCTTGTACTGATCTCATGCTTGCCCATGCAACAATTGTGTGCAATACTGGCTTATATGTGGGTGATGCATTTCATGTTGGTGCATAAGACACAGTTCATTATAGCTTCGTTTCTCACTTCCAACTTCGTGCCAAAATGCTGAGCAAGCAGAAGCTCCCATCCATATGCCTTAGTAGGAAAATAATGTTTCTTCATTTAATTTACATTTCTCACATTACATTATCTTAGCAATTTGGCTGGTGAAAGTGGTTAGTTCACATTCTCAATTAGTGCTAAGGCTTCCACTAGATGCATCATTCCAGCGTCTGGCACAGCACTCAGGGATTTGTACAAGAAAACCGGCATCAACATTGGCCTCGCTGAGACAGATTGAGTATACCAGGATGGAAGTTGCTAAAACCAGCTGCAATGTTCTTGTCTGTCTGAGCTCTCTCTGTGCCTGAGCAAGTCTTTAAAACTGTCTGTGCTCCAGTTTCCCATCTGTAAAACAGGATTAGTAACTCACCTCTTTTCCTTGCAAAAATGGTGTGAAGACTTATGGAAAAGAATGTAATGGACCAGATGCTGTAGTAATGAGGAATAAAGAAATGGGGTGGGTGGGTAAATACTTCAGATAGAGAGTTAATAGAGAATAGTGGGCTTAGTGTATAGACTTTGAGCCTTTGTTTTCTACATGTTCAGAAGAGTTGTGTGGTGCAGAGCTGTTGCATTTGGATTATCCTCCAGCCCAACATATTGAAAATGAGAACATCAGGAATGAGACTAGGCAAGAACACATTTTTCTGACATGGAAATTATTCAGAGTATGTAGCTCAGGTCTTGGCTATCCTAGCTGGTAGTAAATAAACAAACATTTTATATCTCAATTGACTTTGTAATGATACAGTTCAAGATTTTACTGTTAGGAGTGGCACCAGAAAGGCCAATGCATCTTTCTCAGCATCCACAGCTGTTTCTCCTGTTTGTGTCTTCTAGGGACAGACAGGTGTTGGTTCACTGACATCATTGAGGGCTTGCAAGAAAAATTATATGATTGTGCATCAGTTTCTAGATTTCTGGTGAAGGCTGCTCATACTAATATTGCTTCTTGTGATGTAAGACTGTGCTTGGAACAGAGCTAACAACGAGAGTTAGTGCTGTAGCTGTCTTGCCTCCCACTCATTCCTTTCTGGACCAGGTCCACTGGGAGTTTTGTTACAGCAGACACAGCCCTTGGCTCATGATGGCATTGAACTGATTAGTTCCTTTCTTTCTATCTTACAACTGGCTTCCCAAACTGGTTCCTCAGCATCCAGCAGATGGAGGCTTGCCTTGACAAGATGCAGCTTATCTACAACCAGTTCAAGAAGACCCGGAAATGCAGGGGTGAGTTGCTAATGTTGATAGTCTCTCTTATATAATCATTAGCTTGCACAGATTTCATAAATCAGAGGTCTGTTAGCCACTACCAGGGCAGGTATGTCTTTAAAGCGTCTGATTAGGCAGATTCCTTGAAATACTCAAATAGCCCCAAGCAGGCATCTTAGCAGCAGTATCTTGAAACAAACAAAAATGCCAGGTGGGCACTACTGTACTTGGGGATTTGAGCCATCCATTCAGCAGCACCTGTACCAATAAGATAACAATTCTGAAAGCTGTGGCTAATCTCAAGGCTGCTCACCCCAGTCTGAAAAGTATGGGGCTTGTGGCTGCCTTGCGTGCAGGTGCTCATATCTGCTAAGTGCCTGTGTTTATTAACTCTCAAGTGCCAACAAAGTTTCTTCTGTCACAACAAAAGGGAAAGTTGTAAGCCTTGTTTTATTGTGTGTGTGTGTGTGTTTCATCCCTGGGGTCCTCAAAAACTGAGAAAAATGAAGGAACGGCTTCTGGATTGCAGGCAGAGGCAGAGGTAGTGATGTGCTGGAAGCACCTAGAACAGATGTGGAGGGCCTTTTGTTTTGCTGCATCAAAGCAACATGTATAGCTACCCCTCTGGCAGTTTCTCCCCCACTCACCGCTCATTGGTTTTCACTGGAAATGTGACACCTCCCTGTTTCCTATTGGGCTATCTTGCAATATACCGTATTTTTACGTGTATAAGATGCCCCCATGTATAAGACACCCCCTGTTTTGGGGGACTCCAAATTAAGAAAATACCCCTCAGCACTACCCATGTATAAGACGTACCCCAATTTTAAACCTTTTTTTCTTAAAAAAAACTAGTCTTATACACGGAAAAATACAGTACTTTATGTGAATAAAGTATTAATCTGTGAAACTGCAAAGTCCTGAAGTCATTCCCTGGAAAATCTACTAATAAGTTGCATTTTCTTTCTAGGCCTGGGCTACAATGAACAGCAGATCCACAAGCTGGATAAGTAAGTGTAAGAGTTTGTGTATAACAGACCACCTGAGTATCGAACACTTCTGGTTTGTATTCTGTTGGTCTGTGGTTGGCCATTAAACTTTCCTGAGCTGCTCGTGCTCAGATTGTCTGATTCAGGAATGAGTCATGCTATATCAATCAATAAAGTTTCATTGAGGCACTTGAATAACAACCACCTCATAATAGCCTTGCCCTTCCTTGTAGTAGTAGGAATATCACATGTAAGGGGAAGACTAGCTTCTCCCGTTCCATCAGCCGAGACAGGGAACTGGCTTTCCCTGCTCACAGGAACACAGCAATATGCCTTATACCAAGTTAAAGTATTCATCCATCTAGCCTAGTGTTGCTCTAAAGTCTCAGACTGCTGTTTTTCACATCACTTATTACCTGACCCTTTTAACTGGAAATGAACTGAATTAGCGAGTTTCTTTGTGGCTAATGATCTTGTTGCATTAGTGTGGGTATGGGTGGGTGTTTGCTTGTGGGTTGTTGTTTTTCAAATGCTTAAATTATGAGAAAAATTGATGAAATAATGTACATTTTATTTTGTTTCATTTTCAGGGTGAATTTAGGACATTTAGCAAAAAAGGTTCTTTCAGTTTTCCAGGACAACTGTTTGCAGCAATACAAAGCTGCTCTTTTGGCACATGGAATTATAATGAGGTAACAGTGTTCCTAGCACATACTCTCACTGGCTGCCACTAAAGCAACAATGCTCATTTATTTTATTGCACCTATATCCTACCTTTCCTAGAAGGTGCTCAGGGTTGCATACGGGGTTCTCTCCCTCCTCATTTTATCTTTGCAACAACCCTAGGGAGCTAGGTTAGACTGTAAAATGGGGGCTGGCCCAAGGTGAGCTAGCTTCATGACTAAGGTGGGATTTGATTCCTTGTCTCCCAGGTCCTAGTCCAACACTCTTAAAGCAATACCACAATTTTCCCCATTCCAGGCTCTCATTCCATATGGAAGCCTAGTTTGCTATGTTACCATCATTGAATTGTACACACATAAGGTCAATTCATGCATGATAAACATAGACCTCCTAGAAGAGACAAAACGCTCTTCATTTGGAAGGTGAAAAGAGGAGGGAAGTTCAAGAGAGGAGCTGAAAGCTGCATTCTACATTACCTCTGTGGATAGAAGTCCTGCCCCTTATTGACAGTTATGTCCTGTGCTGCTTCAAAACACATTTTTGCCAGGGAGGAGATTTTCCAACTGGGCTTGCTGCCAAGCCTCATACGGAGGGCAACAACAGAAAGCTGGGCAAAGGCTTAAATTCATAGCCCCCTCTCCAGCATCTCTCTTGAGTACTCCCCCAACAATAAATTTATTTATTTATTATATTTCAAATATTTATATACCACCTTTTCGAAAGGATCACAAGTGTTTTACAAAAAGACACACACACCAGAATTAAAAATAGTACATAAAGCAATGAAATTTAATAATATGTTCTAGAAAACATCAGAATTCAAAAGTAGGATTGTACTCATTCAAGACACATCCCCTCACTCAATACCCCCACAAATTTCACATCTGCTAACACATCTGTATCTCAGTCAACCTCATCTATTTGTGAGGTTCTCTGTTTGAATAGAGTGTTTATGGGATCTGCAAAATGCATCTTTTCCTAATTTGCTATACCATGCCAGCAAACATTTCCAGACAAAATGAAGACCTTTGAATCAAAGTGATGGCATGGAGACAAAACAGGTGAAATCATGCTCATTGGCAATAATACAGTTGCATCCAGTGACGTTGTCTTGTTGCCACAATGGCTTCCACTTTTGCAACAGGATTTCCTCTCCCTCTCCTTTCCCTGTGGAATAAAGGGCTGGGGGAAATCCCCAAAACAGATTGGAGGTTATGGAGGTGTGCTGGAAAAGGAGAAAAAAAGCTCATCGTGCAGGAGAGAAAGTCCTTATGCTAGTGGGATGACTTTGTTGGATGCAGCCCATTGCCTTTCTATGAAAGGGACATTGCTTCTTTTCAAGCTCTGTATCTAGCTTTGTGATTGGTTGTCAGAATGAGTTGTGTTCATTTTCCTCATTAGCGTCTAGTGCCTTTCTGAAATCTTGGAATTAACTGGCATAAGAGTTTATTTTTCCCTTCATGATATAATGCACAGCAGGATAGTTGACATTATAAACAAAGACATGCTGTCGAGCTGACGTTAGTACTCATTTCACTGGACTACACACTGCAAATCTTCCCAAGCCTTTGGGTTGGAATATTGATGAACTTCTTTGTTTTCAGTATCAAGCAAGTTTCTCATATTGGAATGAAGCCATTATTAAGACAAAGAGCAGCACTTAGAAGGAATGATTTTATGTTAAAGGGTGTTTGGGGAATAATGCAAAGAGCAAATTGCCCAGTGGTGATGGAGAGTCATGCATTGACTTATTACATTGGAGAAAAGTGCAGTCACTTAAGGAAGTAACTGCAACCCCAACTGGGGGGGGTTTTAATTGCAAAATGCTTTTGAAACACAGCAGCTTTTTTCAATCAGGTTTCAAAGGGCCTGAAGGTTTCTGATGATACTCATCATAATTAGGGTTGCTTGAGGACTTCACTGGGACTGACTTCTGAAGTGTACTCATCTGATCCACATCTACCAGAATAAGTTGTGGGTTGGACTTGTAGTCTTTCAGATTCTGGACTCCATCAAATTCTACAAGGTGGTCTAAGGGCTGGCTACTTGTTTTTAACAGGTAGTAGCTGCTTGCAGTGACTCCAGAGTATATTGCTGCTTCTGCACAGTGAAAATGAGACCAAAATGCCCCTGGAACTGTGGAAGTAACTTACTTCCAGAGCTCCAGGGAGATTTTTGGGACACGTTTTCATGGTACAAGGCAGCATTGCACTTTTCAGCTGCTCCAGATAACTAGAACATAATTTTTTTTTTTAAGAAAATGAAATGCAAAGCCTTGAAACACATTGTAAGTACTTTTTTTTTAATTTAAAGGAATTAAATGTGTGTGGATTTTTGTTGTGAAAAAGAATCTATCTTTAGTCATGATTAGTCTTTCCTTGCTGTGACAAAAGCTGTCACACAGGTTGTCAAAACTGAGGGGTTCAGAATCAAATTAAGCAGCAATGACATTGGAAGGAGATTCAAGAATCAGTTCCACCTCTGAATCATGCGGAAGCAAAATATAATTGCATTATGATGATGAGTAGATACAATGACTAGATAGCTTTGTTGCATCCTAGTACATACCATAAGTGAAAGATTTGCATCCTGCTGCAGATTTAAGGTGGTTTGTGTTTTTTAAGAAGCCTGATAAGTATGAATATGATCTGCTTTAATGTTTCCATCCTATATCCAATTACTTCAGATTAAGCCCCATTGAGTTAAATGATTTACTCCTGTGTAGACATAGGTTGATTTCAAAGGGAAGGAGTGAAGCTTGTACATGCCTTTCTTGTTGAAATCAGTGGAACCTAGCTCATGCTCTGTTTTTAACTTTAAATCTATCCACTTCATTGAGTTAATAACCAAATTACAGTTTACAGTTTTCACAGTGATAACACATCTCCCTGATATCTTTATAGGTTTTGGTTTCTAGTATTTTAACAGTTTATACCCATGGTATAGCTTTGGCAGATATATGATCTTGCAGAACAGTATAAATATTGTTAACTAATATGTGCACATCATATTGCATCATTTCATTTACTGTTCCTTGATATCCAGCAGTGCTGTGATCTTCAGGGGTTGTTATTTTTGTGTATAAGTGTTTCTTTGTTTCTACTTGCCATTTTTGCTCTTGGTTTAACAAGTTCCCTATTAGCTCCTTTCTCAGTCCCACCAAGGCACAGAGCAGAATGAAATAGAATTAATTCTATGTTTCCTTCACTTTGTGTATTTTACTATTTTTATTATGTTTTAATTTTTAATGCATTCTGCTTTGAGGGGCTTCCGCCCAAAAGCGGTTTGTAACTTTCTAAAATAAAATCCACTTGCCTATTTATTTCACCTTTGTTGCTGTGAAAAATGACCAATCAGTTGTGGCTGCTTTGATGTCCCCACTGTGGAAGGATGTGTAGATCCAGAATTGGCCTCCACAGTCACTCACTGTTAAGACCCTGTTCATGAAAGACAATCTTACTCGGCTCGGAGTGATTGTCAAAGAAGAAGCTTTGATGAGATGCCAGGCAGGGTGGGGGTCCTAAGTAGCTTCTCAGAGGGAAAAACTGTATCATTTTTTGGGAACATCATTAATGCTGTATGACTTTGCTATTCGAATCCATGGGGAACTTTGTGGACCTGATGAATCCTTGTGGCTGAGCACTTTGTTCCATTTTAGAGAAACCTAAGTTCAAAGTGCCTCCTTAGAAGAAAAGAAATTAGCAGCTATTTGACTACACTTGTTGTCTTATCCCTTCAGGAAGGTGTTTGACCTGAAGAAGAGTTTGAAGAAGCTGAACAGATCTTTAGCCTCCTGTAGTGCAGAGATGTCGGGGTGCCAGGATTGCCTTGATAAAGTACAGTGGTGATTTTTTTCTTCTGCTGTTCAAACCATTTCAAAAACCAGCAACTTGAAATTAAATTTATGTCCAGTTTATTATAGCTTTAATCCATGGGTTGTCCCCTGTGTGTGTGCGTGCGCTCAATCTGCTCTGAGCCTCTAGTTCAGATTTGGGAGCAATGCAGGGGGAGGAAGGGAGGGAAAGTTCTGTTGCATGAAGTAATTCTGTGGTGGCTTGGTTAGATTCAACCCCTAATTTGTACCTCAGTTGCTTTAAGTGTCCCAGCTATCCAAATCTACAATGTGACCCCCATGTGTTACTCTGTCAGGGCCGGATTTAGGTTTGATGAGGCCCTAAGCTACTGAAGGTAATGGGACCCTTTATATGTCCAGCTGTCCTTTGTCAACAACAAATTGTCACTGTTTTTTGTGTTGAATATATGCTATATGTCCATGCAGTCCATGCAGAATGTAGGCACCCTGTATATAGAAATGAGCAAACTAGCGATATTTTGGGGAGCAGGCGGGGCCCATTACTTACACCATAGGAGCCTACACAACATAAAACACTGTTGCTGTATGTAGGTTTTATTTTATTTGCTTTTTATATTATATTTTGGAAATGTACATCCAGTTTATTTCTTTAATTTTTTGGGGGGGCCCCAATAGCAAAAAATTAATTCAGACAGGCAACTAACCAGCTGTTTATGTTGTGAAGGGCTCACATTGGGCAAGGTTTCCACCCAGTGATGTAATGAAATAATGGTTCACTGGAGAGTCGCCCCATCAAAAGCAATGGAGCCATAATTGCAATTACTGTATGCATAACATGGTTGCCTAAATCTAGCCTAATGGAGACAGTAATAGTAATAGGGAAGACACTTTTTGAACACCACCTGTTGCAAATAGGATCCACTTTTAACTGGTATGTGCAAAGGAACATTGTACGTACTCACTCCATTGTTTTTGTTCTCTGTTTTGCATTTTGCTTCCCCCGAAGATTTTCCATGGACAGTAGGACCTTCCATATATATTACTTGATTCTGGCATTTTGAAAGGCAATTCGCTTTTCATAATTTTATGTACCAAGTGTAGATGAGAGCTTGGTACGCCTCTTGTGATCTGTGGTGTTTTTCATTTTCTTGACAGGCTTTGGATGAGTTGCCTCAGAGAATCCTCCAAGGCAAAACAACACATTCTGCACCTACACAGGTTTACATGAACCGGAAGCACCAAGACATGGTGTTTGGGTATGTGCACACAAATGTAACTGTCAAGGCATATGGAGTCTGGATGTTTTCTGAGTGTGCTTCTTTTTTGCACCATTGTAATAATTTATGATGAAAAGCAACTAGTGTGTGGCACATATTTAAAATATATCCCTCACCTCTCAGGCCAGTGTGTGTGTCATGTGAGTTGATATATTATCACATTCAAAACGTGCTATGCCACCTTCCACCAGTAATTCCAGTGTGGTTTACAGCAACAGAATATGACTCCAGTAAGAGCAACATAGTGAAATTCATCACAATCCACAGACCAGCCAGATACCACCCAGGCATGGTATTAACAATCTGTAAATGCCTGGGTGAAGAAAATGTATTGTCCAATGTTCTGGTGAGCATCTGCTTGGTCATCCATAATTAATAATTTTAAAAATGCATAATTAAATAAAAAAAGTTGAACTGTGCTTTTTGTTGTGTGTATGTCTTGAACAGGATGCAAGAGCTTCAGGACCAGATGAAAATAGTAGCTCACAATCTCCAGCTCAACAATAGCATCATCCAGCGGTAAGAGGTTCTGAAATCTCTTTAGCAGCATATGCCTATGCCTAAGAGAAAGTACTAAGCATGATAAGAAAGCATTGCTCTCCCAAAACTGAAAAATGTATGCATTCAAAAGGCGAGTTGTGACCACTTCTCTAATCCAAATCACCTTTTTATTTTCTTTCTCTAGGTTAAATGGTGTTGCACCAGGACTGTAGGGATGAGAGTAGGCTGCAGAGCCTGAAATTATAATGCGGGTAAATCCACATCGTTGAAGACTTATTGGGGAGAAAACTTCATTGTTGAGTCTTAAAGATGCCTATGCATTCTACCTCCCTGCTGTAGCACTTTGAGGTGGATTTAAGAGAGTGGTCTGTCTAGCCAGCATACCTCAATAGAGAACCAAATGTGTTTGATGTGTTTGTTACGTTTTGAGAGAGAGAAATATTTTTTCCCCTACCCAAATTTTATTGTTTGCTTACTCTTTTCAATCTTCAGTAATGGAACTGGAGGTTCTTGTCCTTGGTTCAGTGAGATCTGGCACTTTGAAGCTTGCCATGCACTTTTAACGGGCACTAGAGCCTCACTGAACCAAACCTGGCTAGCCAGTTGCCTTGAAATGTTTGTTGTTAAGTACTAGAAATACTTAACTCGGAAGCAAATAAACTATACCTCACCATACTGTTCCTTGGTTGACCTTTGTTCATTGATGAGCCCTTTCTGGTAGTCTAATGTAAAAAGGATCCTAGGTTTGAGGGACCAAAGCTGTGTCCCCCAGGCTTCAAGCAGTGACTCAGAAACTACAAAAAAGAGACATCGGAGAGTCTGGAGAGTGGGCATTATCAACCTATAGTAGTGCTGTCTGTAAACAAGCCAGGTGTAGATGCCAGTACAGAGACCAAAGTAGGATGTGGCATGTGGGAAGCTGGAATCCCCCAAGGAACTAATAAACTCTGCACTGAAGCCTTCACAGTTTCCTGCCTTTCTTGACAACTATGGCAATGAACCCATCTGGATGGTGGTAAGAGTTGAAATGTTAGACAGGGTTGCTTTAAGAGCTCCACTCACCAATGGAGACACACGGGCTCTGTTTGGCTTGATGGAACATGATGGAGAAAGCTGTCCACTTCCGGAGAGCTGTCCTTGGTGCTACAGAGCTTGCTTGGTTTGGCCATGTCTCTTTTTCTCTCTCCTTGGCTTGTCTGTTGGAACCTGGCCTTGTATAGGAAGACTTACCGGGGAGAAGTCTTGTGTAGAAAGTCTTGCTCCTTGCCTGTAAGTGCCAGTCAGGTGAGACCCACACCCCATCCCATTGGTGGCCACTTGTCAGTGCTGCTTAGTCTGAGAAAACAGAACTAATTTATCTTCTTTTGATCTGTTGGTTAGAGTGGTTCAAGGGGCATAATACAGACTTGGTTGCTCATGGTGCACATACCATTTTTAATAACAAAAAAAAACTTACTTTGATGAGAAAATATTTGTAGAAGGTTTAGGATATAGGTTGTATTTTTGTTTTAAGCATATACCGTATTTTTTGCCCTATAGGACGCACTTTTTCCCCTCCAAAAATGAAGGGGAAATGTGTGTGCGTCCTATGGGGCGAATGCAGGCTTTCGCTGAAGCCTGGAGAGCGAGAGGGGTCGGTGCAACTCCCGCGGGCTCCGAAGCCTTGCGGATAGCTGCCTGCAGCCCGAAGCCCGGGGAGCGCTGCACTGTGCGCGGCTTAGGGCAGCTATCCGCAAGCCTGTGGCGCCCGGCGGGAGTTGCCCTAAGCCCGGGGTGCACAGCGGCCTACAGCGCCGCGCTCCCCAGGCTTCGGATAGCAGCAAGCTGCGGGAGCGATGGCGAGGTTGAGCACAACCTCACCATCGCTCCCGGACCTGTTCTGGGGGCTGGGGTTGGGGGAAGCTTGGGCTTCCCCCGCCCCCAGCCCCGCAAGCTCCGGGAGCGATGGCGAGGTTCAGCAGAACCTCGCCTTCGCTCCCGGACCCCCAGCCCCGAGGCTAAAAACGAAGCCAAGACAGCAAGCAGGATGGATCATGGCTTCTTTGCTCTTTGGGGCTCGGGGGGGGGGGAAATATTTTTTTCCCCTTTATTCCCCCCCCCAAAAAAATAAGTGCGCCCTATGGGCCGGTGCGCCCTATAGGGCGAAAAATACGGTAGATAGTTTTTCTTGGGATCTATGAGATATAAGGAGCTGTTGCATTGTTTAAGCGATGTGGTCACGTTTTTAAACGTTTTAGGCATACACATAAAATAGTAATGCATGGCGTATTCCTGTGTGTACCAGTGCAGTTGTATTGCATCTCCTGAGATAAAGAACAGACATGTTTACTGAAAGTACAACAGGAAATCAGTGGAAAATTTTTTATTTTAAAACACTCAAGGACTTTTTGCCTTGCATAATGATCATAGTGTTGAGTTAAGAGTACTGGTTGTGTGTGTGCTTCCAACCCTGGGTCAGGGCTCTTATCTTTAAAATTCAGGAGGAAACCAGGGTCAATTATGCATATCTTCTTTATGCCAAGTTAGAATGGAGATGGGAGCACTCTGGAATTCTCTCAGTATTGAGTGAGAAGGTATTCTTCTTTGTGCAAGTGCTGCAAGAATATTTTTAATTATTATTTCAGCTTGCTTTGGGCTGATTTCTCTGGTGAGTTTATTGGCTGTTTTACTCACTGGTTACTGTTTGGTTTTATTTGTTTTTAATCAAAGTGGCACTGAGTTCTTTAGAAGACTGGACCAAACTTTTCTTTTCATAACCATTTGTTCCAGCTCTCTCTCCTAGTCTGCTGGATTCAGATGGTTCTAGATGTTGCCCACTAAATAGAAAATGGCCGGGATATATTTCAGGCTTGCTTTTGGAAACAAGCCAAAATTGATTAGGATAAATGGATGAGAGAGGCAGGTGTCTTGTTGCTGCATGTGTGTTTAATTATAAATGTTTTGCTTTCACCCCAAAGCAGAGCAGGCAAGCAACACACTTCCAGGTTTCTGGTTTGATTTATCTTAAGCTTCCAGGCCTGGTGTGTGTATTAACTTTTTCATCCCAAAAGGCTGTGAGCTAAGTAAAGAGTCTTCTGCTTTCCTTTGATTAAAACAGCAACAACGAAACAGCTGAGCAGATATGTCAGCACAGAGAAGCTAAGGCTGAAGTAGAATTGTTTGGTTGTGATCCAGGAGATTCCCCCTTAGAGATGGACAACAAGGGCTGGTGCCCTTACATTAGGGCATCTTCCTCCCCTGCACCCCCAGCAGCAGCTGCTCCTCAACCTGCCTCAGAAGCTGCTTTTGATGTACAGTCACATCTAGTTCAGCATTTTCTACCCTGGCACTGGATCCCCAGGTTTTCAGACAGTCCCACCTGGAGATGCAGGGGACTGAACCTCGAACTTTGCTCATGCAAAGCACATGCTCTGCCACTGAGCTGTGGCCCTTCCCCTCAGTTTCTGGCTCTGTTAAACCACACATACTGAACCACATGGGAGCTGCTGCTCTATTGTGCTCTCCTGCAGAGATGCAGTATATAGGTCACCTGCATATTCCTGCACTGCAGGTCGTTGGACTGGATGACCCCCAGAGTCCCTGCCTACTCTACAGTTCTATGAAATACTGCAGCCACATGGGCAGAGCCAAACACCTGGTCCCCTCCTATCCAGTGAAAGGGGGCTCAGATATGGTATACGGCACCATACCGTTAGGGGAGTGAGGGCAGCAGGAAGGCTTGTGCTATGCGGCCCTGTGGATCACGTTAGCAATTTTGCTCTTGCAAATTAAAGATGGAAACCGGTGGGTTTCGTAGACCAGTTGAAATGAATGAACCCAAGTTAGTCATGCCCCTTGACTTCAGCGGCTCTGCTCTGAATAGGACTAGCATTGGCCACAACACAATATATCTGTGTAAGTTGAATATTTGAAGTTGACCTTTTAAAGAAAGGGGGGAAACCCCCAATGCAGTCTAATGGATGTGTAAGCCATTCAAGAATGATAATGAAGAAGACAGATTTTATTTATGCTGCAGCAAAGTGGTATGCAGGAGTGGTGAGCCTTTTGGGAAAGGCATATTCCTAAGCGCCACGCTTCTTGTTGCAGGACTAGCTGCAGATTGGTTTCCTGATTATTCCTCCCTTAAAGAAAAACACCAAACAAACCAGAATAAGCTGCCTGAAGATGGGTGGGTTGGGTGTGGAAAGATGGCTGGCAGGGTGAAGTGTTAAGCATTTTATTCCTCCCTCCACCCAAAAAAATCCCCCTCTGCTTCCATTCAGTGCTTCCTGAAGCAGCTTTTCCTCTTTAAAAAGACAGTGGAGTACCTTGGCATGCATTTGAGAATGACATCTTTTGGCCTGATACTCTCTGTTTTCTCAGAGGTGTGCTGTGGGGGTAAGTGAAACTGAGATGATGGGAGCCAAGCCGAGTATTTAGTAGCTGATGGGTATTGCTGAAAACAGCATTTTAGCTCAGTGGTGAGGCATGTTGGCTGCAAGGATTTGTCGTGCTCTGCACCTTTTTACCATTTTTTAACCTTGGGCTTTACAAGCCCCTGGGTAATCCTCAGAGGCTGCCTGCTGACTCAGCTGTGTGCCAGCAGCCGCAATGTGTCAAGCAGTGATATAGGAAGCCCAGGGGTCTCTGGGGAGCAAAGCATTAAGATGATATCAGGAAGCTATTTGCCATTGGAGAAGCAGATGCAGTATCCCTGCCTTGCACCCTATCCAGCCTGCTTAGTAAGTGATTTATGGGCCCAAACCCCAATGGACGGGAACAGACATAATGCAAGGTCTCCACGCTGCAGATGGAGCAAACCATTTCAATGATAAATGCGGCGTGCAGAAAAATTGAACGGCTGCGCCGAACATGACAACACCTCCTCCCCTTTCTGAAAGCAAATATTTTAGAATTGGGAAAGTGGATGGTTTAGAAAGGAAAGGCATTCCCTTGGCTGCCCTTTCTCCCACCCCTTAGAGATAAATCACTGTCCATGGGCTGTTAATTTCCCTTCTGTGCTAATAATGCTACCTCTGCCGAGTGACAATGAATCTTCAGAGCAGGCACCTGCTACCAGGCGGTAACCCTGGTGACCGGCCTAGTTGACAGACTTGGAACTATGAAGCCAACACAGAGATGGTTAAAATGAAGGGATGGTCACTTCAAAGTATGGGAACAACAGCATATTATTTGAATATTTGTAGCTGGAGAAGCTGGGGAGCGGTAGCGCTGTTTCCCTGCAATGTGGTCTCATCCTATTGGGAAGGGTATGTGAATGAAACCACCATGTGAAGTGGGGTTAAATGTGTGGGTCTTTCTTATCCAACTGGCATCCTTGGGGAACCAATCTTCTGGAAAGATCTACCCATATATCTGGTCCCTACCCACATGGCTGTGCCATTCAGTATCTCTCTCACACACACCAGCACCATTGAGTTTATTCTCATCTGGAAGTAGCTCTATGGTTGCTTCCAGACAACCTGCTTGTTAAATACACAGTCTGTTTGTGGAGAATGGTATACAATGTCACATCAAGCAATTGTTATCCCACATTTTCCTGTCACCTTCTTTACTGCCCAAACTCTGTGTGTTTGTTTAGAAGTAGGTTTGGTATGCAAGAGCATCAGACCCATTCTAATTACGTGACCTGAATTTGCCACTATGCACTTGATTCCACCCTGCAAAATAGTGACAGATTGAAGACACCCCATGCTTGAAGACCTCAGATTAAAGCACTTTGTGATGCGAGCTAGGTTTAAAAAGAAAGAAGAAGAAGAAAAGCCTTGACCATGTTGATATGCTAGCCATGTTCAAATATATAAAAGGATGTCACATAGAGGAGGGAGAAAGGTTGTTTTCTGCTGCTCCAGAGAAGCGGACACGGAGCAATGGATCCAAACTACAAGAAAGAAGATTCCACCTAAACATTAGGAAGAACTTCCTGACAGTAAGAGCTGTTTGACAGTGGAATTTGCTGCCA